CCCCACAGCTGCCCAAGCCCTGTGGCTGTCCCCCATGCCCTGGGGTCGCCAGTGGACAGCTCACCATTGCGGCTGGCTGGCCTCCAATCCACCCCCCTCCCCACTACCCCCCTGATCTGCCCTTCCAGATGTCCCCCCACTTTGGGCAGGGAAGCCGGGTGGCCATGTCCCCTCTTGCCCCAAGCTCTGCCTGCGCTCCCCTCACCCTCTGGCACCCCACATCACAGATCAGGTCCCAGGCACCTCCCTCCCACCCTGGGGGCAGGGCGAGGGTCCTGGGCCCAGCACGCACCCTCCGGTTGCTTGTACTGGTGGTAGAGCACAACGTCGGTGGCATGGTTGAGGCCAGACGTCAGGTTGGTGACAGCCTTGTGCCCAAACTTGTGGATCTTGAAGATGCGGTTGTTGATGTAGGTGACACCATAGATGTAGTCCTCAAAGATGTCGATGCTGAAAGGATGGCTCAGCCCTGGGGAAAGGAAGAGGGGACATGCGCAGGTGGAGGTGGTGTGGCTGATCAGAGATTTTGGATGGATTTGAGGCGAGGGCCTCCCACCCTGTACGAGTGGGACGATGTTGGGGGGACAGCAGTGCCAGCAGACTCTGGTCCCACTGTGGAGCATTTAACAAGGCACACCCGCCCGCCCTCGCTGCTGTCTGCCAAGCATCCCCAGTGTAGCGCTGGGGTCTGCCCTGCAGCATGACCCAGGCCAGCGGCCCAGGGGAACCGGGCTGTGCCGGGACCCCCCCCCAGGGACATCGCCCCCGGGCAGGTCCCTCTCCTCCCTGCCACTCTGGCGGGTCTCGAGTGCTGCTCACCCTTCTTGTTGTCAATGGCCACGACGGGGTCAGTGCCGTTGAGCCGGATGCTGCCGATGACAGAGAGCTTGGCGTCAGCCCAGTACAGTCGCTCGTTGTGGTAGTCCACGGCCAGGCCTGAGGGGGCACACAACCCCCGGTGAGATACGGGCCCCCAGCCCACCCCAAGCCCCTCCGGACCACGTGGCCGTCAGAGCAGCTGCCCCATCGCCCCCACACACTCCTGCCACGGGGCTCAGAGCTCCCAGGCCCGGGTGTCCCAGGATGAGTGGGTTGTACGTCCCTCCTGTCAAGGCTTTTGCCACCCCTCGTGCCCCTCCTGGCACCCGCCTTTGTTCACCTGTTGGCCACTGGATGTTGTCCTGCACCAGGGTCTCGCGCAGTGTCCCGTCCATAGCAGCTGTCTCAATCTTGGGGTGATTGCCCCAGTCTGACCAGTACATAGTCCTGTGAAGGACATGGGCAGGTCGTTCCCAGCAGGGGAGCAAGGAGGAGGGGAAGAGCAGGACAGTCCAACGCCCCATCAGCAGAGAAACCCTCCCGCGTTCTCCCCGCAGCGTCCTAGAGTCACGGACGTGACCCCCAGGGGCCAGCTGACTCCAAGGCACAGCAACTCAGGCTGACAGAGAGAGGGATGATGGGGCACTGGGAGCGTCCACCACGGACGGGCTTGTCGGTGAGTGGAGCCGGGGTGAAGGCTGGGCAGAGGGAAGGGAGAAAGGGCTCGAGTCTCTCACCCCCTAAGCGGGTCGACCACGATGGCGTGGGGCTCATCGATCATGCCCGAGATCAGCGTCTTGCGATTCTCGCCTTTCATTTGCGCCACCTCAATGACATCCCGCCCTGAGTCTGTCCAGTAGATGTTCCCAGCAACCCAGTCAATGGCAATTCCCCGCGGCATCTTCAGCCCCGAGATCTGTGAAGGGCAGAAAGAGGGGAGAGGTGAGGGCAGAAGACGCCGGCAGCCTGGACTCAGTGCCTCCCACCGTGCCGCCAGCAGAGCTCACATTCAGGTGGGTGACACCGCCGTCGATCTGGCGCCGGTTGCGGTTGGAGGCAGTGGAGGCAGCGGAAGAGGCAGGCAGCTCCCGGTATGAGATCCTGCCCGTGTGCCAGTTGGTCCAGTAGATCTTGTTGCCCTTGACATAGATGTCCATGGCGTCGATGCGCACGTTCTCATCACCCTGGAAGGCCGGCTCATAGGCGGAGTTGGGGTTGAAGGGGTACATGCTCCGGATCTTGTTGTCATCCGCGATGTAGAGGATTTGGTGCTCGGAGCCTGCAGAGGAGGAGCTGTTGGCGTGGGCTGGGCCGGGAGCGAGGGGTCAGCCCAGCTCCACGGTGGGTCAGGGGATGGGGTCACTGGGGGCTTGGCACCCCCTTGGGGCTTTCCCTGCCAGGGAAGGACAGGCTGATGGCACTGGCAGAGCCCGGCACCCGCCATCGGTGCCAGAAGGAAGGGTGAGCAGGGGGAGGAGGAGGAGCAGGGAAGGAAAAGCTGCTGGGTCCTGCACAGGGCCTGTGCGGGCCCCCGTTCCCTCCTGACCTTCTGCCTTGCACATGTTGTCCGTCTTCATGAAGTTCTTGGCACAGCTACAGACATGGGAGCCCTTAGTGTTGTTGCAGAGCTGGGAGCAGGTCCCAAAGCGCAGGCACTCGTTGACGTCTGGGCAGAGGGAGAGGGGAGTTGGCGGGGGCCCAGCAGGGTGCCCCCATGCCCATGGCCAGTCTGCACTACCCAGGGCTCGGGGACCCCATCTCTCCCCGTTCCCCATGTCTGTGCCCCAAGGACACCATTCTGATGCCACAGCCACTCCACAGGTGTGAAGACACATCTTACTGGCAAAAACCAACCGTAAACCCAACAGCCCAACCCCGACCCCCGTCCGGCAGCAGCGGAAATACCTTGGCAGGAATTCTTGTCTGGCACCTTCTGGAAGCCTCTGCGGCACGTGCAGTATGTGGTGGACTGCGACTGGATGCACTGGGCCTCGTCTCCACACATGGTGGTGTTGGTCATGCAGTCGTACGACTTGTGGTCTGGGGTGGGACGCACCGTCAGCACCTGGGCCTTCGTGGCTTCCCCAGTGTCTGCTCTCACCCCCACCGACACCCCAGCTCCCCACCCACCGTGGGAGCAGGACGCCTCATCGGAGCCATCTCCGCAGTCATCAAAGAAGTTGCAGCGGAGGTTGGCGCTGATGCACTTCTTGTTCTCGCACAGGAACTCGTTTTTGTCCTGGCTGCAACTCTTGGGTTTCGCCGTGGGAGACTCTGCGGGAGCACAGGCAGGGGCTGGGGGTGTCCCTGGGTACCCAGCCCCGTGGGAGCCACAGGCACGGGAAGGGACCAGGCAGGGACCCAGGACACCTGCGCCCATCTCCCAGTTTCGGGAAGGAGTGGGCAAAGCAAACCCCAACACCTGGGCTAAACCCAGGGCTCTGCGAGGAGCAGCCTGAGGGCAGTGGTGACCCACTGCCCCGTCCGTGCCAGCTGCAGAACGGTGCCCACGGGCAGCCCCACTCACCGCAGTCCTTCTCATCCGTGTTGTCTCCACAGTTGTCAATGCCGTCGCACTGTCGACCAATCCACAGACATACCCGGTCGTTCTTGCAGCGGAACGGTCTGTTGGGGGGACACTGGAATTTCACTGCACCGGCAAACAGAAACAAACGGTGACGGTGAAAGGAGACGCCATAGCCAGGCTGTCACACTTGTCACGAGCTGCCGCTCAGCCTCTGCCCGCTCTCTGGGGATGCCTGTCCCACGAGGGCGAGCGGGCTCCAGAGACTAAAGCAAAGAGACTGAAGCAAAGACAATTGCCTGGTTGCTGGCCCAACTGCAGGAGGGTCAGCCCTCTTCTCACCAGCCCCCCGCCCCCAGCCCCCACTCCCCACTGCCAGCCCCACACCCGCTCAGCACCTCTGTGACTGCTCTCTCGACCAGAGCCACCTCCTGTCCCCTTGGCCCCACTGGCCACTCCCAAGGGGACCCACCTAGAGGGGACGTGCCGAGCTGCCGGAGGTACCCACAGCCCCCCGGAGTACCCACAGCGGTGCCCAAGCTCTGGGACTGTCACCCCTCCCCGGCATGCGGGCGCTGGTGCAGGCTGCAGCCCCCGCGGGCTGACGTGCGCCAGGCAGGGGCTTTACCAGGAGCGGGGAGAGGCAACACGGTGTCACTCACAGCACTCCTCCGGGTTTTCATCTGAGTTATCCCCGCAGTCATCTTCCCCATCGCACTTCCAGGCCAGGGGCTTGCACAGCGTGTTGTTGCACTGGAACTCGTCCAGGGGACACGTGCGAACTGTGACAGCACGGGGCAGGAGGAGACATGTCAGCCAGTGCTGCCTGATTGCCAAAATGCCGGTCTGGGGCCACAACTTCAATTTCCAGCATAGCTGGGGGCTCTCCAGGGCACGGATACATGTCCGTGCATGCCCTGGGGCCGGGCAGAGTGGTGCCGACACATGCACAGGGGAGTGCTCCCACCCACAGCGTGGACACAGGAGGCACAAGGGCATGGGGGGAAGATGACCAGCCCCGAGGGAGCCGCGGGGCGCTGCCATTACCCCCAGTGCCGCAGTTCTCCTCATCAGTGCCATCCATGCAGTCCGCATCGGCATCGCAGCGCCAGCGCATAGGGATGCAGTGCCCATTCTTGCACTGGAACTGGTCGAACTCGCAGCGCGGCGTGCAGTCTTTCTGCAGGGGAAAGGCGAGGGACAGCGGTCAGCAGGGACAGCCCCGGTCAGGACAGCCTCCCGTCCCATGACTGCACCCAGGCTCCCACCCCCCCCTTGGTGGTGGGGACCCCTGGCAGAGACACGTGTCCCCACTCCCACACGTGGGCAGAACAAAGGCGCCGTCAGGGAGCCTCTGCCCTCAGCACCGTACCTCGTCAGAGCCATCCGCGCAGTCGTGGTCCCCATCGCACTTCCACCTGCCAGCGATGCAGCGGCCGTTGGCACACGAGAACTCGCTCTCCGAGCAGGGCCGTGGCGCTGGGGGCAGAGA